AACATACCTCTTCAGAATAGCTCCTTATTGCCAAATGGTATGTATTATTAATTATTATTTAGTTAATCCTGATCGTACAATACTTAGAATCTGCTAGAATCCTATTTTAGAAGCATCAGGAACACTTATCCTATAAGGACTGTTTATTAATCATTAAGGGAAAGATTTAAAACCTTTGTTTAAATCCAAAGGAAGTTGCTTTTTAGAAGACTAAATGCAAAAGTGAATTTGAATATCTATTAAAACATTACAATCATAATTTTAATCATTTTCTTATAACTTTTTGCATTTTTTGTTACTCTTTAAATATTTGGATAATATTGAGATGTTAGAAACAACGTTTATAAATTAATATTATAGACGTACAATACACTATTAAATATATAATGTAAACAGAGTAAACAGGTTTAGTCCTAATAATGATTACTAATAGTTTAGGATAATTTAGATTTTCAGTTCATAATAAACATAATGATACATTTAAGAACAAAGTTAAGAAGAAAGATACATTTCAAAAATTAAAAAAAAATATCCTTAATTTTAGAATAATCTTAAATGAAACAAAGTTAAAAAATTGGGATGAATGATTTTTAAAATCACTCTTCTCTAGGTAATATTTTCAAACCTGTTATTTATTATTTTCAATTGATATTAAAAGTATTAGAGAGAATAAAGGACTGAAAAGATATATTAATCATCAATAAGAATTCTAGCCCTAAAAGGATTAGAGATAATAATTATATCCACCCCTAAATAAGCTCTATGTGAATTACATTCCAAAATTGCTACTTTCAACAATAATTTTGCATAATAATTAACAGTTATTAAACACTTAGATAAGAATTATATTATCTTACTTTCAAACTGATTGTTTACAAAATTAATTTATAACTTTGGATAGTAAAGACCAACCATTTTGAAAAGAATTTTTTCTATCGAAAATTACAAATAAAAAGCTCTACTACAAACAATATCTCATATTTTAGCAGTTTAAAAAATTGAGGATTTTAAATTTATTTGAAGTTAACTTAAATAATTATGGATTTTAGTAAGGAAAATAAAACGTTCAGTTTAGTTGATGCTTCTTAAATATCATTTTTGTAAAATTCCTTACCTCATTTCTTTTTAATTTTCATGTAGAAAGCATCCAGAGAAAAGGTTTTATTTAAAAAAAGTGAAAAAATTTTAGAGGTTTTCCTAAAAAAAAAAGTAAAAGGAAAATCTTCAAAAAGGAAAATTATAAAGATATACATAATAAATGTCTTAGTCAAATTCAAAGAAAATAATATTTGAATAGGATAGTTCAGATAAAGAATAATTTCATAAAATTAATCTTTAGTAAAATCGGGTAATCGGATAATGCTTTTGAAAATAAAGATTAAGCAATTTAGAAAAATTTAAAAGAATCAAGATAGTATTTGAATTTAGTTATAACTCAAAATGGATAATATTTTAGCTATTACTTTATTTTTTATACAATTTAAACCAATTGATCATAAATTGAATAAATATTTAAAAATTAATTTAGATAAATTAAACAGACTATGTAAAATTATGCTTCTGCAATATAAAAATCCAGAAAATTCTGTTAGAAGCACAAAAGGTGAATTAGAATTAAAGTATATTTAACATCTCCTTACAGATAATAAATCTCTCATTTAAAAATTTAAGCCAGTTATTTCTTTTAAAAACAATGCTAACATTAATTTCACTTTTGATATTTTTGAATTTCCTACTACAAGTATTTTTTTATATTCTTTTATAATATTTTCAATGCCAAATATCATTTTTGTTATCCCCTATCTTATTAATGAATTTTTACTCACTAGATATCATCAAAAATGCATTTAAATCAAGTCAACAAATAGAGGTTTGATTCTTTGAAGGGTTTATTTATCCTAATAATTCAATATTAAAAAATA